ACTGGCTCGGCACACTTGCAAGGATACCTTTAAATCGAATTATGTAGGGCTCTTTATGGAAAATCTGGATGAACCGAGTTCTGGTTTTCTTGATCTATTGGGGGTTCAAACCTCACTTTTGGAACTACAGATCCTCTCTGCTATTCCTATTTGCTTTTGATCTTCAGAAAATAATGTAAACATTGTTCGTTTTTCCCCACATCCCTGCTGTATGTCCTAAACCCAGGTTTGACTATTAGTTCCTAATGGGTCCAGTCAGATAGGAACATCAACTTCCAGGATCAGTAAGATGAAGCAAGCTGACTACAGCCTTGTATGACTCCCACGGATAATAACTAAGATTTCTGTACATCATATAAAAAGTAACTACCTGAACTCTGGACACTAAACAATTAGAGACAATGTGGACTTGGCCCAAAGGGGGCTGAATCATGGAACTATGCAACAAAAACTGCAGGAGAAATCCCTTATTTCTGTCCAGAAGACCAAGTGGCAGGGCTTCTGCTATATGGAGAAACGCCTTGGTTTTTGTCTCTGGGTGTGCAGCACAAAAGTTTCCCCACGTAAGATTGTCCTCTTGTTCACCCAGTTTAGGCCTAGGCCATGTATATCCAAGTGATATGGAAAAATCTTCAAGACGTACTTGTGAATAAAGCTAGGTGAGCAAAGTGTGTGTGGTGTACTGCCATTTGTGTCCAAGTGCTGATGATAACACATCTGGATAATCGTAGGATGAAAACACTCATGGACTATTTGCACAAGAAACAAATAACAGTGGCTACATATCTGGAGGGTGGGTGGGAACTGGGAGGACGAGTGTCAGAGGTGGGAGAGAAACTCTACTGGCTGCCATTTTGGATTTTCATTTTTGGGAACCCACGTGAATGTTATCTGTTTGTAATCTGATAAGCTATTTTTTAAGGGCTGCCTGCATAGAACCTAATCAATTCTGTTGAGTGAAAGAAAGCATGCACGATGCCTTTCCCCTCATCCATTCTCATCTCCAACACACACCCCCACCATGACCGCCACCACCAGTCTGCCACAGGATGTTGGAACTCCCCTGAGAAGCAGCAGGTAGTTTTTTTTAATTTTTAAAAATATGTCACTTTTAAAGTAATACTTTAAAAATGATCAACCCATAGTAATGAACCATCATATCACTCTTTACAGCTTACAAAGTGCTTTCAGATGTGTGCTCTAACTAGGCCCTTACTATAACCTTAAGACAGTTTATCTGTTACAAACTCCATTTTGTAAGTAGGAAAACTGAAGTTGGGAAAAATGAAGGGACCTGCCTAAGGTCATTCCTCTGGAAATGGCGGGGCCAATCAAGATCTTCTGAATTAAAAGTTTACACTCCTTCTAGGGCAGTTGAGAGAAAGGCAACTCCCCCGTCCTCCTTCCCAATTCCAAAAGAGGAGAGAAGCATACGATGGCAAGACCTTCACGGATTTTATTTCAATCCCATGACAATTTTATGACAGACTGAAGCATGTGTGGGTCAGTCAGTCTGGGTCTCGGTTCTAGGGGCCAGCACCGGCAGAGAGGGGAAAGTATCCAACCACTGTTTTGACTGTTACACTCGCCCAGCAGGAAAGAAATGAGAAAGGAAAATGTCCTTGGCTGCTGTGAAGAGAATCCTGCCAGTAAATCTGAAGGGTGCTTCACTGTGCCAAAGATATCCCCCTAAGTCCTATTAACATCATGACACCGAACCAGCGAGGCGCAGAACACTTAGTGTTGCTGCTGACCTCTTGGCAACTTTTGAAAGCAAGATGGTGTTGCTATTTACTAATGTGTGGGCAGGATGTTTGAAGATGGAGAGGCACTGGAAAGGAACCAGAGTGTCGGAGGTTTTGCTCCCCAGGACTAAATTGAACATCGCCTTGGGTATGCGTCACAAAAGTTTCCCCATGTAAGATTTTCCTCCTGTTCCATCTCTTAGCCTCCGGATTGACTCTGCAGTCCCAGATTCCCGTGATCCTCCAACGTGCAGGAAGTGAGAACTGTCAGGGAAGAGAATGGGATATGCCCAGTCTGGACCCACCATCCAAGGTCAACTGCAGAAACCACAAAAGCTCACTAACGTTATAATCTAAGACATGACATGCAATGCAAGAATGACTTTTGGGTAACGTCCAGGGCCATTCCTAACTACTCTCAGAATGTGAGAAGGATTAGTGTGTTCTGATTAACAAAAGTCTAACACCTACACCTCTTGGAATAAAAAAGGTAATCCGAACAGCAATTCTGATCCCTCCTAAAGTGGAGGAAAAAATGTTAACTGCTTCTGGTATGACATGATATATTTATCCTGAATAAGACAGATAATTTTGTTTTGTTTTGTTTTGTTTTGAGTTGGAGTCTCACTCTGTTGCCCAGACTGGAGTGCAGTGACCACTCCCGGCCACTGCAGCCTGGACCTGCTGGGCTCCGGCGATCCTTCCGCCTCAGCCTTCCGAGTAGCCGGAATTACGGACACGTGCTACCACGCCCGGCTGATTTTTTTTTATGTATTGTAGAGATGAGGTCTCGCCAAGTTGTCCAGGCGGGTCTCAAACCCGCAGGCCCAGGCAATCCACTCACCTCAGCCTCCCAAGGCACGGGACTACAGGCTGAGCCACCAAGCCCAGCTAAGACAGATAATTTGATGACTGCCTTCCCACAAAAAAGACAGAGAAGTTTTAGCTGTTTTTGAAAAAGCAAGTAACTGCCAATAACTCTTCATCTAACTCCGAGATCATCAATTCACAATTATTTTATTCAATCAAGATTATGTAAAGCTATCTCAGGGAGTATCACAAAATTCTTAAAAGTAAACTTAATTTTAGTTACAAATTCGGTTTTACACGAATGGGCTAATTTTATTCAACTCTGATATGGTCCCCTTCGAAGTGGGCAGGAAAAAAATGGAAGCAAAGGGTTGAAAAAGTGCAAAACACCTCAGATGGAACGTCTAAATTCAGCTACTCAGCAGCTCAACAATCTGGAACAATTATCTTCCTCTCCTAGCGTCTTGACTCTTCCGTCAAGCACAGAGCACTCCCACACTCTGTTCTCTAAGAGGTCAGGGTGATTAAAGCGAAAGGAAAAAAGGAATTCTCCCCAAGATCAACATCTGACCAACAGAAATAGATCTGCCTTCACAATGAAACAATTCTCCACGGTCCCATTGTTCTGTATTTTTCAAATGATGGAAAGATCTAATTCCAGAAAAATGTTAATAGCTTGATTATGTGACCATAGGGCTAACAAGTTGTGTGGCTTGAGATTTTGAGGGCTGAGCTACTCGAGTATTTTTGGAATAATGTCTGATCTCTTGACATAAATCTGTTGACATCTAAGCAAAGCTCCCACAAATGGAGAACCATAGGGCCAAGCCTAAAATGATTTCATTTGGAATATACTACAACACGTGACTTGGAAGCTCAGGCTTAGATTTTGTGGGTCCAATTTAACATGCGCAACAGTCAAGCGGGGAAGGAAGCCAAAACAGGTGCTTAGAACCACACTGGGAGAAAAAAATTGGTAAAGTGTTTAGAATGTTCTGGAAAACCATGAAGGAGGGTTAGAAGAGACTAGATTGCTGTCAGTAGGGTAGAGCTAAGAAAGAAAATTCCGTGGTTTCAAAGAAGAATAAGCAATTGTCCTTAATTGGACATGCAAGAGAAGGAAAAAGGCTTCCAGGGGCCAGGGAGCCCCAGGTAGAAGATGAAGAGGTTTGGAAGGATAGGGCAGCTACTATAGGTCAAGAGAAAGATAAAGACAAGAGAAAGGCACTTCCAGACAAGAGTCAAGACTACTGTTTGACTTTGTATTTCTGCCCTAACTTTTTTGTAAATATGTTATAGAGTAAAAGATGAAAGAGTTGGCCAACTACCACAGAGTCACTGGACAAAATTGTATTTCTTGATTTAAAAAAAAAAAAAAAACTTTAAAAACTGTCTGCTTATGTACTGGGGCTCTTTTTTCTTTGGAGAATAAAGATTTGTTGTTGAATAGTTTTATAGGTGGATTGTATTTTTCCTTGTTGGCTTTATTTAGAAACCATACCAGACAAGAGAAAGACGGTTCCTTCAAACCCTTCAGACACACGTGTGGAAAGAAGGGAGTCCCCTAACATGTGCAAATTGGCTCATTAACCCATAAAAAAAGGTGCTTATTCCATGTGATATCCACATCAGAACTCTCTCCAGCAGTCTGTCACATTGCCCTAAAAATGTCTTCAATGAGGGACCGGGAGAAATGACCATGGTCCCACTGGCCTAAACTGAGCTGGCCCCACTATCATCCCAACTCAGCTGTGGCAATGCTGTTGCTTTGGAAGAGTGGCGATCCTCGAAATTTCCCTGGAAAGATCCTTTAATGTTTTCATACCCCAAATAATCCTGACCTTTACATTCTATAACACCTTGGCCACTCTGCACCTCTACATCTTAACAACTACAGTTAAGAATCAGAGAAGTGTTAGCTATGATAGTTATTATATTTCATTCCCTTGAGGACTTTTTCTTTCCTCTAAGACAACTGCTTAGAGTCCTATGCTGTCAATAACAATAGTAAGAACAGTCATAATGCCTCATGTGTAATTAACTCTCTTTCAAGCACTATGCTAAAGCATTTACAGATTGACATTTTTACATATTTAAAATCATACTGTATGAGCTCTGATATTGATGTTTCTGCTATCCTCATTTTGCAGAAGACAAAACGGAGGCACAGCACACCAATCTTTATACCATCTTGTTCCCATTCTTTGTGAAGAACCCTTTACCAAATAGTAAAGTTTTAGGAATCCAAAGTTTATGAGCAGTGTTTTCTAATAACTGAGAAGGAAATAGAAGGAAGAGACAGAGAGGAAGTGGGGTAGTGGGGAGAATAATACTCATCGGTCTGGAATTTTGGAAGAATATGCGTGACTCCTTTGGTCACAACATTCATACAGGATGTAGCTATTCTATTGTTTTGCTACAGCACAGGGTCCAGCCAGTTCTTACCCTATTGTCTTCCTGGATCTCCCAGTCACTGGAGAAAGTCACCAGCTGCTGCCCTTGTGAACAGTTGGAAAACTGAAAAAGGCTGGAAAACATCCTTCTGTTCTCTTGAGTGTCTGCAAAGATGGCATCTTGGAAATTGACTCCATGAGGCAAGAGGTTATAATTTTCATCCATCCTAATGGGGGAGAGGAAAAAAAAGCAGAGGTGTAGACTGGACATCCAGGATTGTACCAGCTTCAATCACAAGTCATAGACTAATAAAATGGGCTTGCCAGCCGGGCTCGGTGGCTCAGCCTGTAATCCCGCGCCTTTGGGAGGCTGAGGTG